CATTAAAAGGAAAGTTCTTATAAAATAATTTCCAAATTTAGGAAGGGCTAAACAATGAAGATTCATTTTTATTATTTTTTTCTCACTTTTGAAGTCATCTGATGTCATAGGATTCTCCCCAAATTACAGCCCTTACCACCACCACCCACTTAATAAGGACTACTGCTAAAAAAATTGCTCACAACACTGGGAACAAGTTTTTCCCAGCCAGCATGGCAAATGGGTCCTTGGGGTTGGAGCTACACACATACTTGGTTTCAAGTAACTGATCCTCAATTACCATGGCTGCCATTGTTCTCAGTCTTCTGCCTTCCTATGTTTTTGCACCATAATTGTGGATTTGGTTCAACATCCTAAAACCCGTTTCTTCCCATTGGTCCTGTTGGGTTGTTAGAGAAGCAGTACAGCCTAATGGTTTACAGGACTGAGGGGTCAGATAGATCTGGGCTGGAGTCCCAGCTCCCTCACTCACTAGGATGATGAGTGGTTTCTTAAATCATTGGTATTCCCTCATCCCTGATTTAGGCATGATAGCCATACATATATTATAAGGTTGTCAATGAAAATTAAATAGGATAATGCATGTAAAGAGCTTAGAAAGTTGCCAGACTCACAATAATTGGCTAGAAAACTAAAGCAGAATGAGTGCATTTCAGCTGCAGGGTCACAAAGCTGTTTCTTGACAGAGTCGGGACTGGAATTCAGACTTATAGACACCACCAATCCTGTGCTCAAACCACAAACGCCTGATCCAGGTCAACCTTCCAAAGACCTCACCTCACAGGATCTCGTTGCTTACTTACTTGGGAATCAATTTCTGTACATGCTCCAAATCTTTCTCCATACCATTTTCCCCCAGGAAGAAAAGTCCCATTTCCCCTTTAGCTTTTCTGTCCCTTTGATTTGTCATTGTCGCCCAACTTTAATCCTCTCTCTTTACCACTTATTTTCTGAAGCCCTCATCAGCTGAGTACATCACCCTTTATAAGATATCTTTGTTAGCAGCCCATCTCTAAAGCTATCATGAGAGAGAGCACTCAGGGTCTCTTCCTCCAATATAGTGAAAGAGTTACGACAGGGTTCTGAATTCAGCCACCTGAGTTTAAAGCCCTCTTTTTCCACAAACCCCAATTCTGTCACTTTTTAGCTCTGGGAACTTGAATGCATTTTCTGCCTCAGTTTCTTTATCTATAAAGTGGAGATAAAAATTGTACCTACCTCATCGAGTTGTGAAGATTAAATTAATGAACATATGTGAAGCCCTTCCAACAGTGCCTAGAACATATTAAGCACTATATAAATATTATTCATAACTTTAATAATTATATAATCATCATTATTTGTTAAAGATTTCCAAATGTAGCTCAGAGCTATTATCTCTTCCAAATTCATCTCCTTGCTCCCTGCTACCATCCATGAAATACATGTCCTCATCTTACTTGAATGATGTATTGGACAACTATGTGAGAAGTGCCTAAAGCTATGCTTAGCACAGGAGAGCTCTAGTAAAATGCTAGCCTTTGTGTTGACCCTTCACCCCTCAGCAATTGACTCAGTTTACTCTTGACTTTCATCTTGAAAGTTTCTTCCTTCAGATTTTGAGGACTTACTCTTTCCTGGTTCCGGCTTCTTCTTCTAGCACTTGGCCTTCTTCTTCTACCTCTTTTCCCATGTGTATGTACTTGTTCATACATAGTGTAAACTCCTTAAGGGCCATGGGAATACTTTATTTACTCTTTTCTCCCAGTACCTAACCCATGATAAGAATTTAGTCAGTCTTTGCTGGCTTTACTATTTGTCTTGAGCCTTTTAACTCCCTACATAAGAATTTTTTATTTCCCCAACTCCAGTCAGGTTTAGCTATAAGCGAGCCTGTCAGAATGGCTCCCATCAACAAATCAACAAATGAATGCAACTCTGGATTTTCATACCACTCACAATTGCTTTACTTCAAATACCTTAAATTCTAAAACCTCTCTTTCTGATGCTAGCTTATTATTTTTTGTTTGTATCAATTTCTCTCTTTACTATATTTATACTAATAATGCCTAACATTTATTGAGTACCTATAATATTCTGGTATCGTATTAGTTTCTTTAGACACATTGTTTCACTTAATATTCATTACAATCCCATAGTTAGTATTATGCTTGTTTCACAGATAAGGGACTTGAGGCTCTAAGAAGTCAAGTGATTGTACCAAGGTCACAGAGCTAGTGGCGTCGCCAGAGTCAGGCTACACGTTGATGTCTCTTTGATCTTTTCTCTGTGCCATTTTGAAAGTTTAGCATGCTGAATGTCAACATGAATAGTCTAGACAATAATTATTAAAGCCACCCTGAGGAATAGAATTTTTAAATTATATATTTAACTTTGAAAAGAAAGTTTAGTTCCTGTCTATTGATTTTCTCATCGCACCTATGAATGCTTCACAAAGCAGTTTCCAAGTCCCTCCGGGAATGTGGCATTTGACTACCAGTCCTCTTGTCAGAGCTAACTGCAATTGTGTTAGAAATTGGCTCTCCAGCTGCGCTGGGCTGCAGTTAGGAAACATGATTGTAGATGGTGAACTGCCACTGCTGGGATGTGAACCAGACATGAATGTTAAGCAATAGTGTCCACAATTTGCAACCCAGGAACTGCCAAATTGACAGCTAGACTAAACTATAGCCGTATAGGAAGATGTGGCTGGTTTCTCCGTGCAGTCAATACAAAGTCTTACATTGTACTTTGATGAATACAATCTTCCTGTCCCATAAACTGAGACGCTGTCGATTATGAATCTCAGTTAGATTCTTAGCGAGCATTTCATGTCTGAACCGCCCTTGTGAGCCTCAGAACGACCCCAACGCTAGTTGGTTTGGATTAGTCTTTAAAGGGAACACGCAGTTCATTAAGCATGTAGAAGCTCCAAAGGCAGCCACACTTCTCTCCACGAACTAAATAGATTTCTTGCATTTGATCTAGGACTAGATGAAAGGGATCCATAATGCTGTGCTAGAAATAAAACTTGACTCGCTGAGGGACCTGAACAGATATAGTGAATGTATGAAATGAATAATATTAGTAATGAGCAAAACTTAAAAAGGAAAATCTAAAGGTTTGGGGGATTTTCTGTCTCTTTTTAAAGAACATGTACCAAATGATTGTTTTATCTCATTTTTGCTTTGAGGATTTATTTATTTCAGGCTTGAAATAGCCATTTGGTATTTCACCAGATAGAAAAAATTTACTTACTTTCCTCACCATCCTGTCACTTATTGCGTTGTCATTCATTTCCTTCGTGCAAGGGACATTTTTAAATTCCTAATTCATGCCAAGCACTGGGGTTGGAAATGAGAAGTTCTTTGATACAAAAATCACAGGTCCCTGCCCTCAAGAAGCTCAGGGTCTGGAGAGGGAGACAAGTGTAGCAGCACAGTGGTAATGATGTGTGTAGTATATTAGGGGAACACAAATGAACAGCACATGAGCCAGCCTAAAGGGGCTGAGGGGGCTTTAAAAAGGCAATAACACCTAAGTTTTGAAAGAAGAATAGGAACTGATCTAGAGAAGAGAAGAGCCAAGGTCCCAGACACACTCTATATTATATGATTATTGCACAGATGGAGAGCCCGGTATATTTCAAATATCAAGAATTAAAGAAGCTATCAGAATTGTAGAGTGAATATTTTTATTACCATATATTCAAGCCATAATGGAACATATTTTCTTAGGAACATATTCTTAGGAACATATTTTTTGGGCCAGAACAGGTTTCATGGTAAAAATGTCACTGTACCCTCATATATGAAGATGAGCATTCTTTAGCCACATGAGTGCTTTGTTAAACAAGGATATCATTGGTTTTGAAACATGTGTGAAAGTCAGGAAGTTAGAATCTAAAGAGAAATGAAATCGGGGACTCTGACTAGTAAGTACCTTTAAGGAGTGCTCTGGGGCCTATGGGGATGTGCATGGAAGTTACCAACATATGTTTCTGAAAAAGTGATTTCTTCCCATGACATCTTTAATCCTGTCCTTAACCACCAAAATTCTGGTTACTGGACTGGAAAAATTCTGGGCTTAAGTTTGAAATTTGTGTAACTGATTATAATCAAATAATGTTTAGCTAGCTAGCTAGCTAGCTAGATTGATTGATAGATATTTGTATTATATTTTCATAGTCTGAAAGGTTTTACAAGAAACTAATGAAAGCATTTATGTATGGTAGTGGTTGCGTTAAAAATAGGAGGGTGTGGGGACAGGGTAGCTTTACATTTTGTTTTGCTCTCTGTATTGTGCATTCTTTAAGTGTGGGGGAGAGCAGGAGTAGAAATTCTGCAGTCCCACTGCAGCAGCCTGTCACGTAGACAAGGCTGGATTCAGAGAGTTAGACCAGAATCACTTAACTCATAAACTTTGTGGGTTCTGTCTGGAGATACTCCTGATAGGATGTGTGGCTTCACATTACTTTGGACTTTCAGAGACTCTAACTAATACTAGGATGGGAGCAAGTGAGGGAAAGAAGGAGGCCAGCTGGCTAATTCCAGTGGGATCTGAACTTCTTTATTTCATTTTCACGGCAGCTATAGCTGAGAATCTCCCGGGTCTCGCCAGTTGACCTTGCCCTCACACAGTGAGGCAGAGGAGACCTAGAGGAGGTAAAAAGGCTTGTGTAAGGGTGATTCTGCGGCTCAAAGTTGTAGAAGAGATGAGAGAAGGTGGGGTGGAAGCAAAGGGCAGCAGGTATTCTTTCTGGAAGAGTGAAATTAAGCTAATTCTATGGCCTTGATCCATGTTTAGATGTGTTCAGACTTTGGAGTTCAGATCACACAGTGGGAAACGTTTTGATAAATTAGTTGCATCTGAAAGTGGGAAAGAATTTTCAAGAGTCCTCACCATCTTTATGTGAGAAACCCAGTCGCCCCAGTTCCCTCTTTACCTTTCTCCACCCTTCCACTCAGTATATCTTTCTAAAGCTAATTAATGGCAAACTATCACTGCTTAATTGCTTTTAGAGATGGACCCCTGCACAGGTGGGAATGGATGTGCCCACATCTGTCAGAGTGAGAACGGAGTGGCCAGGTGTGCCTGTCACCCAGGCTACCAGCTGTCTGAAGACAAAAAGGCCTGCAGAGGTAGGAACTTGAATTTGATAGCTTAATTATGTAATTGTTTGAAATTTTGTGGTAATGTAATTTGAATAGTCAGAACAGCCAAGAGAAAGGCATTTTCATTTATGCTTAAAAACGAAAATTTATACTCTTATTTGATCATTCTGAAAGTTATTTTATGACACGATAGAAACTCAGAGAAAATTTTAATTATGAAAAAGAGATCTGGTGTAGTTTCAGAATTAATGCTTTTTGTTTTCTGTTTCTCATTCTGAAGTGAATTCCAGAACGAACCTCCGTAACCACACAGGGATTTTTTTATTATTATAGGTTACAGAAGGTACAGAGAACCTTTGCAAAGCTAGTATGTCCAAATGAGTGTTCTCAGAAGTAGGGTAATTGAAATGAGAGAGAGAGAGAGAGAAACTCAATAAATACAAGGTTACATATTTCTGTTTCCTAAAAATAACAAAACAGCCATATTTCAATTCAAAGATGAAAATGATAAATTATTTGATGACCAGAACTGATAAATGAAGTTATTCCTGTGGGAAAGTGTTTGTTTTAATAACTTCTGAGAAATCGCAGAATCCATCATTTTATCATGACATTTTCATGACATGAGAAATGGTGCATTTGTATTAATTATGAAAATACCAAAATGTTTCCTGACTTATGGGACTGATAAACACTTTGAGAAAATGAAAAAAATATTAGACATAAAAATGGGTGTTGTTAGTTTTTTCCTTTAAGCCAAAACTAAGATAAAATTTTCTGTGGACTGTGTGAACACACTCTTCCAACAGAAAACGTTTCTGCTCTGGTGCTGCCTGGAGCACCTGCCTGGAGCAGCACCTGGCACAGAATAGGCTCTTGTTCAATATTTGTGGGAAATTGACAAATGTGTACATATATAGATATGCGCATATACCTGTATCTACTTGTGTATAATCTCTTTTCAAAGTTTTATTTAATACTATTCTTCCTAGAAAGCCTGTCCCCAAATTACTGCCTACTTAGGGTTTTACAAATACGTTATAAGAATGAATATTTCTCTTAAGGGTGAAGATGACATGCAGGACAGTTCAAGGGGGGTGTTCAGTCAGGAAGAGCAATGGTGAGACCTCTCCATTTAAAGGGAAGGAGCAGGGACTACCTGGGTCACAAAATGAAGTGACACTGAATAGATTTGACACTGAATAGAGCACCACTGTTTAAATAGCATGGGCCAGTGACAAGGGTGCAACATATATTGTGGGTTGCTACATACGAAGGTCCCACGTCTGCCTTAACTATGGCCACAAGTACTGACTACCTTAAATCAGGGAAATGCCTTTTTTGGTTGCAAATATGATATATATTCCTAAAGACAAGTTACAATGACTTCTACCCATATTTAGGGGACAGATAATGTCTATTTTTTTTAACTTGTGTTATTTTTCCAATGTGTTTGAGAGCATAAGACCAAAACTAGAATGAATCTCATTAGCAGTTAGTTTATTTGCAAATATGGAGCCTGTGTGGTGTTTTGCTGTTACAAGGGACGTTGGAGGTTGAAGGGGAAGAAATGCTTTCGTTTATTTTTATAGTTTACACATCAATCTTAATTGAACCTCAGAGACAGCCACTGTGCCCCTCCCTGCAGACATCGACGAGTGTGCGGAGGGCCTGGCTCGCTGCGGCCATCGCTGCGTGAACTCGGCGGGCTCCTTCGCGTGCGCCTGCCGCCCGGGCTCTGAGCTGGGAGCTGATGGGAAGCAGTGTTACAGTAAGTGGCAGCAAGCGCCCTGGAAATGCGTGGCGCCTGACAAGTATTGAACAAGAGTAATAAAAGAACACGACACTGGCTATCTCACCAAAGCAAAGCTCCCGAGAATGTTTTCCGCCGGGATGGAGTCGGGATGAGAGCTTAGAAGTTCAGCCCTTCATTGTAATGGAGAGAAATGGGCCCGGAGTCCAGAGACAGTGGTCGGTATAGCGACCCCCAGTGTAGGCGGCAAGGACTAAGTCTCACTCCTCTGACTGGGGGCTTCCTAGAACCCGTGGCCCCCCTGGGAAGAGCCTGCCTTCCTTCCTCAGCTCGGCCCTCAGGTTTTATGGAGCACTAGTGACTCCCACATAAAGCTCAAGGAAGAGGCACTGGCGGGAGGGAAGGAGCCAGCAGTGCAGGAGCAGCTCCAGCTGGGAGCAAACTAGCCGACACGCTGGCTGCTCTAAAGAGTACCTTTCGCGTCAGCCCTTTCTTCCCCCCACTTTTTTTTCCCTTTCCATCATGCCCCTTTAAGCAGCTCCCCAACTCTGCATTCCCTTTCCCTGACTCATCCCTCTGCGGCTGTGATCCATGTCACCTAATCTTAGCTTCTCCCCCACCTAGGCTCGTTATACAGTGAAATATATCCCTTATTATGAATATGTTAAAATGTTAACATGCTGAATTATTAGCTGCTTAATAGCTCTTATAGTTATTTCCTTCTTTCATGTCTTCCCCACTCGTCTGCTGATTAATCAGCTGATGAACACACTTTCTACTTAACTAAGCTTAAAACCGTCTGATACAGATTCCTTCATGGTCCATGTTCTCTGCTTCAATATTTCCCATCCTCACCCCCCGTCCACTTCTCCCTTCCTTTTTCAAATGACAGAATCCTTTTTTTAATTATTATTTCTTTGGATGATTTCTTTATCTCTGCCTCTTAGGTGATCCTGGTATATCAACAGTTCATTTTTCTTCCTCACCTTCAGACTCTACCTTTTCTCAGTGACTTCTCCCCTTCCTTCTCCACTTCACATCTCTACCTCAGGTGAGTTTTGCTAGGTTTAAGACGCAACCACATTAACTGGTTTTACTTGAAATCCATACGCCTCAAATGGGTAAGCACCATGGCTGGGCAAAGCTATACTGTGAGAGTGTGTCCGCTCTCCTCCGCATCAAAATGAATGTTGAATATTTTCTTTCTCTTTTAAATCTTTATATCCCCTCCCCTTCTGCTTTATTCTTACCTTGTCTCTGATGTTATCAGCAAAATGGATGCAAACTACGATTCAAGCCAGCATCTGATCTGAAATAGTTCATAGGATCATAGGGAAAAGGCTTCACCCCTGTGGATATGAAGGAAGTGGCCCTGCTGCCACCAAAGGCTGTCTTCTCCACTGTACTCTGGATTTCATTCCCTCTCATCACCTGAAGATCTTTGCTGTTGCTATTGTCTAGTAGGTCATCCTCAGTAATGTATCGGCATGGTCCGGTATCTCCTGTTTTAGAAGTACCTCTGATAAGCCTACGTGCCACCAAAGTGTTCATCTGATCACCTCCGTAGCAAATTTTTTGTAACTCTCTGTGTCTCCTCCCCGTGTTGTATTCTCTCATCAGCCCAGATTAATCAGATTATCAGATTACCTCTACCTCAGTGTGGTCACCCCTCAGCTCCATGTTACCAGACGGCCTGTTAACTTCTACGATTTTATTCTATTTCATCTCTCAACAGCTTTCAACACAGTTGACTAACCCCCGTTCTTCTTGAAATACTTTCTTTTCTTCCATGTTTTCACATTTTTCAGGTTTTTCTCTCCATCTTTGGCTCTTGTCTCAATGTTTCCTTTAACCACTTGTGAATATAGCGAACTGTGTACTCAGCATCTCTATTTGCTTAAGTAATAAGCATTGCAAACTTGACAGGCCCCAAACAAACCTCTGATTTCCAGCCTCAGTTCCAAAGATGCTCTTCCCATTTCTCCACATCTTAGTAAACTGTCTATTTAACATTGAAGCCGAAGCCCCAATGATACAAAATTAGTAAGTGACAGAACTGGGACTTTAGCTAGGGTCTTTAGTCTTCAAATATACTTTCCTTTCAACTTCTTCATATATTTTTATGTATTATATATCTCTCTATACGTTTTAATTGGAAAAGAATAAAGATAATGATAAATGGAGTAAATAATTTCATGTTTTTACCTAAGCTCTCATGAACAGACATTCTTAGGCTCACTAAATTCTTCATTCTCCCCCGCTGCATAAAATTCTATATTTCTTTAATGCCTGGGTCGTCAGTGAAGTCTTAAGGTCTGTTGATATATTGCTTCTGCTTAAAGACAGTGCAGTTTTGCTATGGTGCTATTTGTCTTTTAAAGAACAAACTAAATAAATGGGAGAGAGAAATTAGCTACTAATTAGGATACAACTTCTTCTGAAGTGAGCCTTTCTCTCAATGCCCTGAGGCAGAGAGAAATGTGGATGGGTTTTTCCTTCTTATTCATATTTTGGCTTTTTAATGTGTCCAGAGGTGTAGGAGCATTTTACAAATATTTGAAATAAAATCTCTTGTAATCTGAGTGGTACATTCTCAGTTATCATGAAAGAGGAGGCCAGTATTAACGAGTTATGAGGTACAGGCTTTCTATAGAATTTACTTGGGGAAACAATTTTCCCTAGAGCTGAATACATTGGTAGAAGTGTGTTTTTACTTTTTTATTTTTCTTATGTGAATATTTGGCTAGCTAAATTCTTAGTGCAGCTCTCACCAGACCTCAATATTTACTAACTGACATATAAAACTTTCTTGATGAAAACTGGTATTTTGAATTATTTCAAAATCTGTAGGTGGAGTAAATGTTTCTAGAGCATGGTAGTGTTTAACAATGAATTATGTGTCCTTTATATAGCAAGTATATTTTAGAAAAAATATTTTTTAACACTTTCCAAGGATAACAATATTTTATATTTGTATAATCTCTTCTCAGGGGCTCTCAAATCCCCACAGTGTGCTGTGAATAAACTATCACTATATTATGATTAGAAATTGGAAAATACAAGATTCAACATGGTTAAATAAGACTTCCTCCCCAATTTCCAAGTAATATATAATTGAACTTAAATTTACATATTTAATGCATATATATATATATATATATATATAGAGAGAGAGAGAGAGAGAGAGAGAGAGTAAATAATAATTACTTTCTACCTATGAGAAACTACCAGGGTCATTTTAAAAAGTTTTTTAAAGTATAACTTTTTTAAGTACTATGGTTAAACATCATCTGTATCAAGGATGCAAAAATCTTAGCTTACTTCTAGTGGGCAGTTACAGATCTGAGTATAGCCTGGTTTTGGTTTCATATACTTTTTAATGGCATTACAATAATATTATTTATATTTAAAGTAAATTACTACCAGAAGGCTTATCACTGCATTGATCACGGAAAAATAACAAGAATAGGAGCCAAAATTTGAAAGATGTCTCCCTAAAGAGTATATATTAACATATCATGAGGAATATCAGTTCCATTCATTATTGCAGTCTTTCCTTTAGCTTTTTATTTTTCTCCAACCTAAAATGGCTGTTTCTAAATCCAGAGGACTCCTTATTTTCAACAGTAAATTGATTAGCATAATTCTTTTGTTTATTCAATTATTCAAAACCTATTTTGAACATCTGTTGTCAGCTTTGCAATAGATGATAATGACGGCACTGAGAGAGGTGCTCTGGGACACAAAGGGCTGCTGCCTGCCATAGCCCAGAGGCCGGGGGTGAGGGAGGACCATTTCTGTGCTCTAACTGTACAGGAACTTTAGCAGATTCTTAGGCAGCTTCAATGGTGATAGAGACTTTCAAAGACAACCGTAATCCCAAGTACCCTTGCCCTGTGCTTTCTCATCTTTTAAAAGATTTGGATCAGGTATTAAGAATGGAAGAAAATGACCAGTGTAGACCGTCTCATTAATAAGAGGTCTGTCCAAGCAACAATAGAGGCCAATGGTAAAAATAGCAGAGTACCTAAATTCCATACTTTTAACAATGATTCAAAACATTTTTAAATTTCTCATTTTTTCACTTAGAGAATGATTGATTATAATGCCTGTGTGCTCAGTACAAATGGCATCCAAATGGTGAGGCTGATGTCACCCAAAATGCCCTAAATTAACATGGACCCGGATCAGCAAATTGGTTTTCGGAGTAATAGCATGTTTGTATAATAAATGATTCTCATATACCTCAAAGCTAATTAGCACATTAACATGATACTAGTTAAATATGATCAGCTAATTCATTGGTTTTCTGTTCATACTTTTGTCCAAGGCTATTTTTAACAGTATTTTCATGTACTCCTAGCCTCTAAAAAGGACAGATAATAACATACCATTAGCTTGAGAACAGAAATGTCAGCTGGCAAACAACCTCTACGCTTTCTGATTACTGATTCAATACACATATTTTTTTTATATCCTGAAAATACTGAGAATTCCCAGAGGTAAGTGTCCTTTAAGATAAGTATTTAATAACCACTAGTAGACGATTTACCTTTCTGCATCACTTTGTTAATTTAACATTATTTATAGGTTTATTAGTATTTTGGTATTGTATAGACGTTTGCAATCCTTAAGAGCCTCAGGCTTTTATGTGTGTAGAGTATTGATAAAATTCCAATAAAATTTGTAGTCTTCTCAACAAGTGTACCTATTGTTGACATACATTCAGGTTTCTCTGTTGTTATGCTAATAACCCTCTTCTGCTTGTTTGGAAAGGGATTGAATTGGAAATTGTCAATAGCTGCGAAAAGAACAATGGTGGTTGTTCTCATCACTGTGAACATGCACTTGGTGGGCCCCGTTGTTCCTGTAACCATGGACACCGGCTGGATTCAGATGAGAAAACATGCATAGGTAATGTATGGTAAATGCCACCTTCCTTCAGAGTTGTCCTAGATTCATTTAGCCCTTTCCTCTCTAATACTGCTTGCTGTAATGTGAGCCCCATCTCTCAAACTGCATGGGGAAATAAATTGAACAGTGTCTCTGGCCATTGGATAAATGTAAAAGAAATATTACTTGGAAAAAGACATCATTATTTTGGGTATTTACTTTGAAGTTAAAGAGCTTTAAAACACTTTAACAACATAAATGGACTTAGTTTTATTTCAGGAAAATATTCCAAGGCCTATCTAACCACTTAATGTAATTTGTAATTCAACAAATGCTACCACATACCCTACTTCTCTCAACTGCAAGCAGAAGCTAAATCCTGGACATTCGTTTTCAGCTTGGTGATGATTTCGATGCATGTTCCATTTTGGTGTGGCAGACACCGACCTGAATTCCAACAGAAGACTTTAAAAGAGATCATTCTTTGGAAATCATAGCTCAAACCCATTTTTAATAAATAGCTTTTCTAACATATTGGAACTCATATCATTAGGGACAACCAGAAAAATAAATTCCACTCCACCCTTGCTTCATAATGAAATGTCGAATCTAGAGCTTCTGAGAAAAGGGAATATCTACTAAAAACAGGGACAGAGCATCAAACTATATCATTATGTGCTCTGGGTCTGAGAGCATCTGCTAGCCCCTATAAAGCAATTTGACATTATTCGGGAATTAAGTACCATGTTTGCTTGTTTTCTTTTGTGTTACTTTATATCACCTTTCTTAAAAATTATAAGTACTAAAAATCTTTGACCATTTTAAGCTACTCAGTATGGTTAGAGACAAACTGGAGTATCATAAAAGAGGTGAATTTCAAAGGTCTAAGGATTTGGGATTTTTTTTTTAATGTGACAGTGTGAACTTCAAGGGATTTTGAAGTATTCTGATTTCATAAATTATTTAACCAAAATAATGTCTTTACTTGTATTTCTTGACCCAACATTGCCTCCTGCACTTTCCTGAGTCTATAGTGGTTAACTTAATGAAACTCATTGCTTTCCTTGCTTCTTATGTAATGAAAAATATGCTTATATTTTTCTACCATGCTAATGTCTGTATCTCTGTAAAAAATAAAGGGGTTCCTTCTTTTCTTCTTCTCTCATTTCTTTGCTTTTTAATTCTCTTTTCACCAAACCTACAGTTTGGTATCTTTCCTTATTCTTTGAAAAGTACAATTCAGTAAAATTCTTATTTATAACTAGAAAAAAAAAGCATCTGCCAGGGTGAAAATGTAGAAAATTGAGTATTTATGAGATTTCAGCAGTCAACATAACATTATATTGTTTATGGCTTAAGTTTATTTCATTTCCCAACAATAAATAACACTCACTCCTAAAGACCAAATATTCAGTGTAGTAAGGGAATGATTTGTTTGGAGTGTACGTATACATGTTTTCTGCCTATTTACCTGAGAACAGATTAAAGGCCATGGATGATGTGTAAAAACATTCATGTCTGAAGGAAATTAAAGAATTTTCTTTTTAGGTTATTTTAGGATCACCTTTTTTAATATTTGAGGACATACAAATAAAATGTGAAAATAAGTCATCTAGTCTGTAAATTGTCAGTCTGTCTTGACCAAGTGCAAAAGTTTATTAGGGCTAAAACCTAGAGATGTGTTAACACAACTTGAAAGACAGCTATACAAAATTCAAGTGCCTGACCAGCAGTAAGCTCACTACATTTAACAATCCTTAGATATTACAAAAAAAAAAATTATTTCTAACCTTTTGAGTTTATTCAACAATTATGTATGGGGGACACATACAGAATATCAGTTATTTTCAAGGTTTAATGTTCATATTTTTCTGAAGTCAGAGCTGAAATGTTTAATTATTTTTCCTGGCTACAAATGAAGCTCTATTTTTGATTAGAGCTAATTTTTTATGAACATGTGAATTTCTCTGCAATGTTGCAATATATGGTATATTGGCCAATGTAGGAAAAATATGATTATTGGAGAGGAGGAAAATAAAAAGGGAAAAAATAATCATGTAAAGTTCTTACCAAATAAGCTCTGAAAAGAAGTCAAGAAATTTAGGAAACACATGATGTAAGGGTGGAAGGGACATTGCATTTTAAGAAAAGCTTGTGATGTAAGAAGGATGGGACTTCAGATGAATTTCACACTGAAGGTGGTTTACATGAGACAAACTAGAAATCACCCCAGAGGAACTATAATCCGAAGAATCCAAAATGGATCGTAAAACCATAGACTGAGGAACTCATTTTCCAGTTGTGATACAGTTGTGCTCCTAGTAGCTGAGAACAAGGAATCCTGAGACATATGTGTTTGAGGCTCTACTGGTATTTGAGAAGACTTTAAAATACTTTTTTTTAAATAAAACAACATAAAGGATAATTTTTTAGATGAAATAAAACTGAATTTCAAAAGAAATTTTGCCCTCTATATTCATGCTATTTAATCCAAAGGAGAAAGGATGGTTTAATATAGAAGAAAATATATCATGTAGAATTTTGTGAGTAGCACTGCTTATGATATTTTGCAGGAGACAGAATGCTTTGTGTCCAAATGACCTTCATTTAGATGTTGTATGGTGACCCTCTCACCTTAGATAATTGACTGCATTTTCTTTCCTTCCTCTCTCTTGTCTGCATTTCCTTACATTGGTACCCTTTCTAAGGTTAATTGAGATATTGACCTTTTATATCTGTGTCTGCTCATGTAGTTATGGAGCAAGGGGACTTTGTAAACTCAGCACTGACAAACCACCCAACTTACCAGCTCAATGAACACCAGGGGTTGAACTGAACAGAGGGCCTATAGCCAAAAACCCTGACCACGCAATTCCCAGGTGTCTAGCCTAAGGCAAGTAGTGGGTGAAGAGTATTTGCTGCTTAACTTAGCCAATCATGTTAGAAGTGACCACCTCAAAACTCGAGCCAAATAGATTATTCTTTGGCTAAAGGGTTTCAATTTGACGTCTTCTGGTGCATTTTTACTTTCCCCAGGGCAGTTATGTCTGTGGAAGAAACATTCGGGATTGTAGAATTCTGGAATAATAGTGCTGAAGGAGACTTAAAGAGCATCACTTAGAAAGCTGTGTATCTGATAGGACATACCAGAGTAATGTTGTCGCTGATGGTAATAGAAAACCATGCCCCATGCATCCCAGTCAAAGCATCATCACAGAGTTCAAGCAAATGCTCTGAAATATTCTGTAATTTAAGACATAACATTTAAAAAGATAGATTGTCCTCTCTGAATTGCAGCTGCCACTTCTCTTCCCAGTTTTGTGAATTCCTTTTGCTTACAAAGCCTTTGTCATCTGAAGGTCTAGAATGAGTGTAAGACTGCCTCCTCTTTGCAGCTCTCAAATGTTCACTAAGTGGAATTTCTGGCACTTTCCAAGCTGTGGTTTTTTGTTGTTGTTGTTTTTCAGGTTCTCTGTTTATTTAGTCAAATTGCTATTTAAACTGCAAAAACAGCAGAGATTTCTTTTCCTGTGCTCATAAATGCATTTGGAGATTATTTACATACTTCTAAATAAATGGCCAGAATAGGAAAAGCCTGCAGGAAACATAAACCCCAATGTGAGCCTCATTCTTTTTGTGCTATAGTTGCTTTGGTATCTGTACTATGAAGCATGAGAAATAGGAAATGATTAGTAAAACAATTTTAATTTAGAAGGTAGCTTAACAGCACTTCTATAGGCCGGGCAAATTCCTGTCTCTTAAACCACAGAAGTGTCCTTTCCCCCTTCAGACCTTGACGAATGTGAGAGTGGAGAAGCCTGCTGTGCCCAGCTCTGCATCAACTATTCAGGAGGCTATGAATGCAGCTGCCGGGAAGGCTTTCAGATCAGTTCTGAAGGGTGTGGATGCGATGGTAAGCTCCTGCGATCTAACATGAAATCAGTTATGTGATGGGGCAATCCATGAAGGAGGAACCTGTGAGGAAGGGGGTTAGGGTGCGAAAGGGGAGGCCTTGATCCTAAAGAGACTTGGATTTCTATGCGGTTCTACCATTTACTATTGTACGAATATGGGCAGCAATTACTGCCCTGGACCTCAGATCCTCACCAGTAATATGAAGATAATAGGATTAGTGAGTAAATTAAGGAAAGTAATAACTGTAAAGTGCCTAGTACAGTGATTGACAAGGAGAAATCACTCAACTAAAGGTAGCTATTATTATTATAATACTCATTGGCCCATAATCCCTTTGCCTAATTTAATCTATGTAGGCACGTGAGAGGTTCTGGCAGGTCACAGCACACTACCATAGGAATCACTCATGACAAGCTGGACTGGAATTAGAAAGTTGGTGACTGAAAGTCATTTTCATTAGAGAACAGTAGCAAAAAGATTGCCAGATCATTGCCAGAGTCCACATCTGTATCAGAATCTTTTATATATTTGATATTAATGTAGCCAATGCAAGTTTTCAGATGTCATTTTATAATTTTCTAACTTGTCAAAATTGATTCACTTACCTTTGAGATGATTTCTAGATTATGTATTTGTTTTCATAGGAGAATTTGAATTTAGTGAGTCGAGTTAATTCCTTTTATTACACCATTCCATTAAGAACCGCTCATTATGAGTCATTGCTATCATTTATTTTTTAGTTTATTTTTAAAACATGGAATCTTTACATTTTTCATTTTATGATCGCTATTACCATTATTTTGAACCACATTTTCCTTTAAATCAAAGAAAACACAAGATGATGGTTATCTTTTTAATAATAGTCAAAGTATATAAGACTATTATGCCTCAGAAAAAAGAGTGTTTATTTGCTTAAAGAAACAAATTCCTGAATTATATGGAGGATGGTATGTATGTTTCTTCATATAGATGCCAAGCTCCTCAGCCTTGCAGTGTATGTAGATAACAGCAAAGAACACACAATTATGATATCTATATATTCTAAACACAGTAGAGTTTATTACCATTTACCATATTCCATCCAATTAACTGCGTCCAAAAAATTTGAATTTCATCAACCATCTGCTCTTATGCAGAGTGAGCCAAAAGATTATTGTATGGTGTGAATATACGTACTTGGGCGCATACATCCAAATGAAAAAGGTGTCACAATCTGAGGCAAAGCTTAGAAACCCAGCTTCATCAGTCAGCTTTACCACTGTGAACACATTGACCAAAGTCTAGGCTCAGATGTGGACAGTCGCGTGAGATCAAGGCGTAGGGTTCTTTCATCTCTAAAATTCCCCACACACCTTGTACACAATTATGCAGTGAAAAAATGCTTCGTCACGGGTACTGGATAATTCAAGAATGAATGAACATTTTGCAAAACGGTGCACAGCCTGAGACCATTGAATTTAAGTTTTAAATTCTTCATCAAAACCTCATGAACAAGGTCTCATGAAAGGCCTTGTCTACGTGGATGAGCCACAGTAAACTTAGAAATGAGTGAAAGAAAAAAGAAAAATTGGAAGGATATACTTGAGAAACACCCAGGGCAATGTTTTCTATATGGCATTACATTGCCCATGGTTGATAAAGGTGACGGAGGAACACAAATATGCCCATGAGTTCATAAAGTCTATTTTCTCTCTCAGTGGCTAAAAGCAGACTTTGTTTAAATGTTCCTAGATGTGGACGAGTGTCTGGATATCAGCACAGTCTGTGACCAAGTATGTATTAACTCTGTGGGAACGCACCACTGTACCTGCAGGGAAGGCTACAGAATTGGAAGTGATGGGAAAACTTGCATCTGTAAGTCACTGAAGAATTCTACTGTGTCTTTCCTAAACGACTTCCACCCTCATTTTCTTCTTCAGGAGCCACGGAGACCACATATTCCTTAACTCAACCTGTCCTCCCCTTTCTCTCTTCACAGACCCAGATCTTTCCCTTTTGTTCTCTCTGCTGCAGTTTCAGCTTTGTGCCGGCTGCTTCTCACCTTCCTTTACAGGGGACTTTTTGAAATGGCCTCAAAGAGTTCTGCCTTTCAGTGGCCCCCTGCCTTGGCCGTCTAGTTCAAACCCTCTCCTTTCTCTCATCCACCCTTGCTCGGTGTTTCCTTCTTTTAACCAGCATGTCGAATGCAGGCATTTTCCTGTGTGGTCTTAGCTTTAGATGATGATGGGCTAGAGGAAGGAGAAGAGGAATTAGAAGTTGTGAGGCTCGCAGGCCTTCTGTTCAAGAGCCCGCCTCAACTGCTTCATTATGTGGCTGCCTCTCTGCCTCCCGCCTACCAAGATGAAGGCAATGAGTCCAGAGTGGGCAAAGATTTTCCAGGAGAACTAGCTGCATCGCCCGAAGTTGGTGAGTAAAAGAGTTTATCTCATTGTAGTTACCCCTTTTCTTTATTGTTACAGAATTCACATCAATTCTTTTATAGTCTATTTTATTATCATATTTAGTGCTGTAAAATGTTTTAACCTGATGTTAGTAAGAAAAGTGGGGCCAAAGTCACTTCTTCAGGGTGTCCTAGAAAATCCATCATCTTTTATCTTTCTTCCCTTTGCACAATAAAGGGTTGCTATGTCGGTATGTGTAGAGGTGGGGGTGCAGGGTGTTGGGGGCTGTTCAAGCTCAGTACAGTGAAATGGAGCTGAAAACTATGTTTTTTAAAGTACCTTTAAATTAACATAATAGGGAGAAGGATTGGGACCTTTTAATTCTGACTATTAAAACTCCATTAGAAGTCACTTTTATATAGTTAAAATTTTACTTTAAATAGCCTTAAAGTTTAGATACTTCCCAGATTTTAAAATGCCAAGAACCAATTCTTTAATATGTCCAAGTGGACCAAGAAGATATCTTAAAATAGTGAGCAGTGTTTTGTTTTTTTTTTTAAATATGTCTTTATTGATTTCAGAGAGAGGAAGGGAGAGGGAGAGGGAAAGGGAGAGGAAGAGATAGAAACATCAATGGTGAGAGGGTCATTGATCGGCTGCCTCCTGCACGCCCCCGACTGGAGATCAAGCCCTTAACCCGGGCATGTGCCCTGACCAGGAATCGAACCCCGATCACCTGGATCCTAGGTCGATGCTCAGCTGCTGAGCCGTGTCCAGCCAGGCGAGCACGTTTTCTTACACACATATATCCGTGTAACAGAACTGAAGCATCAAATCACTTCTGATCAAAATAAATTAGCATACCCTCTTTTAAAAGTAACAGTTTGCAGCCAATCTGGTGCTTCCTTTTCTTTCCTTTGTCAAGCAGAGCTGCTCTTTTTGTTCCCCCTCTATTTGTTGTAGTTTAACAGTGTCAGAGCTTGATGATTGCTTTTGGGGTGCATTCAGTAAAACGGCAGAAACATTTTTATGCTCTGGCGAATCATAATAATCATCTCAATAAATACTTCTGCATAAAAGTAGAAATGCTTTAATATTTCTTAATTAAACTCCTGATACTTTGGCGACTCAAAGTCTGAATGGAAAGAGTTCAGGCCTACCAAGATAGTCAGAACTGGAGAGAAGAGAGACCCCGACAGGTGAAATGGACAATCTCTGCCGCTTTTCTCCTTGAGCCATTTGCTAATGTACGGATCGTGCAGGCAGAGAAGCCAGGGATCGAAAAGACAGCTGCTAGGCGCGCGAGAAGCTGAGCGGTTCCCTGCAGTGTCGTGGCGATGGGGAGGTAGAAGCTGCAGCCCAGGATCTGCCAAAGGAGAGAGGGCTTGCGCAACCTAACAGGCTTTCACCTGGGACTTGGGAAGTCCACCCCCCTAGAAACAGGCAGAAGGCGAAATGAAACAATCCTTAAAACAACTGAAATCGGATCTCTCCCTCCTTTTTCAGGTTAAGGATTTCCCTCACGAATAGAATAGAAAAACACATCATGTGCACTAGAATACTATACAGCCATAAAAACTAATGCGTGTACAGTATGGGAAGTCTCACAAACGTATTGAATGAAAGGAGAGTGATACCAAGAGCACATACTTTACAATTCTATTTACTTAAAGTTCAAAAAGAGGGAAAATAATCTACGGTGATAGAAATCAGGATAGTGCTTAATTTGTGAGGCTAATGACTAAGAATCAACAAGTCTCCTTTGAGTTTTGGGGGTGCTGGCAATATGGTATATCTTGATTTGGATGGCATTTAATGGTTCTTTTTACATTGTGGAAAAAATATAAAGTATGCACTTGAGATTTGTGCACTTCTTTGCATGTATATTAATTCTCAATAAAAAGGTTTCCATGGAAAAAACTTTGCATTAAAAAATGCCTAAAAGAAAAGCCCAAAATGCTAGGAATACTAATTGTTTTTTGTGTTCTGGGATCAGTGCAATTTCTCTTCATATTTTTTTCCCTTTCTTAAATATTCTTTCAGGTTATTTTTCAATAGTATCATGGGAAAGTGTAAAATAAACTCTGCTTTAAAAGACATCTCTTTGCTATTGTCTTTTTTCTTGGACACTAGGAAATATGCTCAAGGATTGAAGGACCATTTATTTGTGTGTGTGTGTGTGTGTGTGTGTGTGTGTGTGTGTGTGTAATTAAGAGTTTCATCTCCATTTTCAGTGACCTAGACAATTTGAACTAACTAAAACTGTATCATATTCTAGTCTGTTTAGATCACACCTTTGGACAAGATTGCAGTTTGAGCTGTGAGGACTGCATGAATGGAGGCCAATGCCAGGAGGGAAAGAGTGGGTGCACCTGCCCAGCTGGCTGGGGTGGCATTCTTTGTAATGAAAGTAAGTGATACCCTGAAGAATTGGTAAGAGGGTGGTATCTTTTCCTTTACTGCTGCTAAACTACTGGTGATGCGTTCTATATGTGTGTTCTCCTTAAAACGTTTTAGCAAGGTAAGCCAATTGACATGGGTGAGAAACCAATGTATTTGTTGTGCATAAAGAATGCCCACAAAGCACTGAGGTTTTAAACTGAACCTGAGATTAAAAGGGGAGATTTTTTTGTGTGTTCCCTGGGAAACTTGATGTACTGTTTCTTGTTTATCCATGGAACGTAAAAGTTAATAAAGGATCCTAATATTCTAGGCCTATAAAAACTCCTCCATTTAAATAAGTCATTAGGCCCAGGCAAGCTATTCCCAGTGAAGAAAAATAAAAAAAGGATTTGTGCTATAAAGTGCAATTAATGGGGTTGCCTGACTGCTGCTTCTTTCCACTTGTGTTTATTTTATTCTTTTTTCCTTTCAAAATGTGTTAGTCCAGCCAATGACACCTTTAAGTTTTTATATGTCTCTCATAAAAAATATAAAAGATTAAAAAATGATACCTCTAATAAATGTTTTCTTTATATTTTAAATGGAGGTATGCTTGCAGGTACTAAAACTGCCAAGTAATAAAAAACAAAATATATTAACTATCTTGGTTTCCTCTTTCTCTTTTTAAATTTACCTTATAAAATTTTTAAGTCAAGGGTTTTCTTAGTCTTTGTGAAGATGATATGAGCAGATTTTTCTTTTGAATCCCTGGCATATAGGGAAAAAAAAGCACAAATATGGTTTCTATTAGGAGGTAGATGCAAACCTTGAGTCACCACATAGCAAAGTGATTTAACCAAGATTACTAGTTAGGGTCTCGAGGACTTCCTTAAGCATCTCTCTCCTTGTGGGTCTCTTCTGCTCAAAAAACTTTAATAAAAGTGTCCCATTTCCTGATACATAAATTATATACTTCTGATCTACTCACTGGCGGCCATCTAAAATCAGGCCCTTCTAAGTCCTTTTTGATTTTTGTCCGAACACAACTCTTTGCCCAGCTTATCCTTTCCAGCAAACTAAACCATTCACTACTTACTGCTTTGCACTTTTCATTTTTGTGTCTTTTGCTAAACTGCCATCTTTGTCTATTTCCACTTATTGTAGGAAATAGACAAAGTCTAAACACAACTATTTATATTTCGGTAGATTTAAAGTCTCTCTCTCTCTCTCCATTGGATTAGAGTCAGCTATTCTCCTGTTCCATTTCTCTGACTACACTGAGAGCTCATTTGCAAGGTCCTATTAATGTTTCTCCAAACTGGAGGCACCCAGTGCATGAATGAACAAATGAGGAAAACTTGGTATGGAAACACTCAGTTACGTTGACTGGGATCAAAAAATATTATTGCACGACTAAAAGGAAGTAGGTATTTACCTTGTATTGTGAGTTTTGTTGGAAAACATGTATCTTCCAAACCCTTCATTTCTAACACGGCAGCATGAGAAATGAAACTAAAAATCTATCAGAGTATAGCATGTCTGTTACAAAATTAATTTAGAAATATTGAAAATGGATTTGTTGATAAAATGAAGGTAAGATGCCCCCTTCTTTGGCTTTAGAAAACTTTGAGGATCTTTTAAGTTTCCACATGGTCCTGAACCCAAGAATCTGTCCCTGAAAGCAGATTAGATCTTTTTTGCACTTGCTCTCTTTCTTTAAAATTTTTTACAAAAATGAAAACAGAACAATCCAAATGAAAAAATAAATGTTCACGCATTCTTTAACAAAAAGAGGAAGTGAGAACACTTTTTTTAAATTCCTATAAACTGCAGTAAATGGAAGTGACCAATCATTCATCACCTATATTTTTAAGAGTACAAGCTATTCAGACGCAGCAAGACAAATTTCAAAAAAGACCATTCTGCAGCCTGGCCGGGCGTGGCTCAGTGGTTGAGCCTCGACCTAGGATCCAGGCGATCAGGGTTCGATTCCCGGTCAGGGCACATGCCCGGGTTGCAGGCTGCAGCCGATCAGTGACTCTCTCATCATTGATGTTTCTATCTCTCTCTCTCCCTCTCCTTTCCTCTCTCTGAAATCAATAAAGATATATTAAAAAAAAAAAAGACCATTCAGCAGAGAACTGAAAAGTCAGTTTTCCCATTGAGTAGATCTTCTAGCTTAATATATTTATTGGTCTATAATGAAAATATTTGCTTTGATGTCTTAGGAATTTTCCAAGTAATTATAATGAAACAATTTTAAAATGATCACATATTAATTTTAATAGCATGTTTCAGAACTCCATTTCTTTTGAAGAGATTTCATATTGACTATTTCTTTTGTTATTATGAGACTCTGTCTAATAGGGGAGATTAGAGCATTTTTATAGGACAAATGAGTGCGTTATACACAGAGGGGAGGTTTCATGACTCTCTTTCAAATCATCCAGCTATGGTTGGGGCATATTTGTTTTAAAGTTTCTCCAGGGTAGTTGCTCTGTTTGATGCTAATGAAGTACTTAGCAAATCGGTGGACTGTTGATACCACGTTCTACTTTGTGGGGGCAGATAATAGTGTTGGTTTGTCCATGTGGATTTGATGACTTGCTATAATCCAGATACTGTGCAAGCTATTTAAACTTCCTCAGCTTTATTTTTCAGGTGGATTAAAAAAAATCTATCCCCTCTACTGTCACTATAAGAATTCAAAGACTTACTACATGTAAATTAACAATGTGTACCTAAACCAGTTTTTGTTGACAGTTTTTCTCTCTCTTATTCCTTTTGTTTTCCTCTTTCCTTTTTCTTTCCTTTTCATAGTAGTCTAGGGCTTGAAAGCCAAGAAAAAGCATGACTAAGAAGCCAAGTTAACATATTAGCATCTGGAATGGTGTGGGTGGGTGAGTAGAGGGGGTGATACAAATGTCGTTTTATAATATTTAGCCAGTTATGATAAAATGTCAATTAAAACGGTTATTAACATTTTCTAAACAGCTGTATTTACCCAAGTTAAAATTAAAATAAAGCTACAGCCATTTTCCTCAATTTATTATTTTTATTGGACTACTAAACACTTCCCCCCAAACCAACAACACAGTTGTTTGCTTGACTTCATCTTGCTCTGACAATGCAGATTCCCTTGGGACCCTCAAGACAGTCTTAGTTGCATTCATTCCTGGTTAAATACATGCCATTTCCTCCTGTATTTTCTTCCCATTTTCCAAGCTTTGAAAATGTGAGGGTCGGAATTTAAGGAACAAGGTAAAATTTTGTACGTAACCCATCCTAGCAGTACCTCAGCCGTCATTTTAAGTAGCTGTATCAGTAATGCCCAGGAATGATTATGCCATTTAAAGTGGGAGCATGCCAGAGACACTTCCCAGGTCTGCAAATGACAGAGATTTTAATTACTCGATATCCATTCTAATAGGAAGACAAGGTTGTTTTTCCTGTTTGTATCGCAGTGAGTATGCCACATGCTGATTGTTCAACCTCTCCATTTTCTTCCCAGCTTGCTCGCCGGAGTCCGGTGGGAAAGCATGTGGCAGTGTCTGTGACTGTCAGAATGGGGCCACCTGTGATCCTCTGACTGGGCAATGCCAGTGTCCTGCAGGGCTGCATGGGAAGACCTGTGAACATGGTAGGGACGCCTGGTGCTGCTCACATGAGAGGACTCTTTAAGGGCTTGAGCTTCCTAATGGGACATACACTAAGTTAAGGTTGCATCTGTATTTTTCAAGGTAGTCTTTTTCTGAAGAAGTAAAAGGCTGTTTCTATAGATATACAAGAATACAATTGCTTTGACTGGTGACATGTAGAACAGAATAGTGATACAGTACTTATATCTCCACCTATGATCAAAGCAGAGAGAATCCTGGTACAAAAAAGCCATTTTCCTCCACTGAGCCAAAAGTTGAGTTTGTGTGTACAGGTTTGGGTTTAGGAGCAGGAGAGAATTTATTTGCTCTGCATAATAAAATGAAGAAAACTGGAGCTCCTCGGACAAACCCAGGAGGAAAGGAGATGAAAGGCAGAGAAGAAAAGGAGCAGAAGAAGAGAGGAAAGGAGAGAAGAGATGGTCGATGAAAACTCACAAAATGCCAGTGAGGGATTTTTCATGGAAACCTGTGAAAAGGCTACATTTTTATATGGGTTGATAAAGCCAAAAAAGAAACTGCTTGTCGAGGTCCAAGAACTGAAGGCAGAGAGTCAATGAAGATATAAATCTTTAGGGATTGCCAGAAATCAGGAGTTTATTAGATTCCCAGAGATCAGGGAACTGGGGAGATGGAAACCAAGTTTATTTCGCTCTCAGAGAGGTACAGGAAGGCTCCTGCTGGCATTCCAGTTACTTACCCCCTGAATAATATTTATTCATTTATTTAAATGTATAAAGTGTTTGCAAGGCACTGGGCCAGGCAGGCATTATGATAGGGTAATGTGTGCTTTGTGGTCAGAACATGTTGAAAACACAGTGTGAGCCACAGCGACTTCTAGAGAAGGGGCACTGAAGCAGAAGCCTGCAAATTGGGGCATGAGACAGGGAAAGTGTGAGGCAAGAGCACTGCCACGCTCTGAGGAGGGTAAGAGTGAGGTGCATTAGAGGAACCAAAAGAAGGTCGGTGGTGGAGAAAAAGTCCACCGGGGAGATATTAGTGCCACATGAGGTCAGCCATTATAAAGGCTCATAGATTCGTTAAGCTTGGAGTTTTAACCTGACAGCAATGTCCAGTCATTGTAGAATTTTAGGCAGAGAATATATCATATTTGTGGTTTTTAAAACTTCTCCCTAGCCTAAGTTCAATCACATTGGAAACATCTCACCTTTTCCAAGCTCCTTATTTCATGTAACAACAGCTCTAGCAAGTTTTGCATGGGGGTTAATATTTGCTTTGTTTTGTCCTTCTGCCTCTAGGATGCCCAAAAGGACTTTTTGGGAAGAACTGCAAAAGGAAATGTAACTGTGCCAACAATGGCCATTGCCACAGGGTGTACGGTGCCTGTGTGTGTGAGCCAGGGCGCTATGGGAGGTTTTGTCATCTGAGTAAGTCACAGACACTACATTTGCTCTCTGTGTGAAGCATGGAGGCTCAGAAAAGTGCCAAAGGAAGAGACTAAGAAATATATTTTATATATATTTGATAATTTATGTTCTAGTCTTTTTTTAGCCTTCTTATTTTAGAGAATCTAGATTTGGGTGAATGAATTCTTTACATTTTTTCTCATTAGTGTTTACCTTAATTATTGAGAAAAATTTGTTATTAGTTCATTTAGAAGGAGGCTTTACACTTTATGGGTGTTGAATATCAAAAGGAATAGAAAAAGTCTCCATTATTTCTGTTCTAGTGCATAGCAATATCAGTCCCTAAAATTTCTATAACAGGCTGCTTATTTTGCATTTTGACCATCAATCATATTGTGCAAAAGATGTGAGAAAACAATCACCAATAAGTACTTCAGCCTGTTAAGTAACTAACTTACAGGATTTCTACTAAAAGGGCATCTCTGGTTGCCCACTTGTGAGCTTGAAACAATCTCCACCACACTCCTCTACCTGTTCTCTATGCTCTCCTCTGAAAATCCCTCCTGAGTGGACATCAGTAATACCATGACCCTTTTTTAAAAAAAATGTATATTGATTTTAGAGAGAGGAAGGGAGAGGGAGAGAGAGATAGAAACATCAGTGATGAGGGAGTCATTGATCAGCTGCCTCCTGCACGCCCCCAACGGGAATTGAGCCCGCAACCCGGGCATGTGCCCTGACCGGGAATCGAACCTCGATCTCCTGGATCCTAGGTCGACGCTCAACCATTGAGCCATGCCCAGCTGGGCGACCCATTTCTTAATAACAGAGATCTTTTACAGTTTTATTTTGTATTTCTGGTTGAATGTCCATGGGTTTTGTCTATTTTATGAAAGGTGTACCCCTAGAAAACAATCTAAGTTGTGACTACTCCAAAGAGAGAGCCAGTGAAGGCATCATGGAAAACTGAATCTGGGTCATGAGGAAAGATCTCGCTTGGGTTAGCAATGTAGAAGAGATGGGGAGAAGGCCTGGGGAAATGTGAAGAATGCAGGTGCAGCCCTGGCCTGTGTGGCTCATTTGGTTGGAGTATCATCCTATACACCGAAAGGTCACAGCTTCAGTTCCGGGTCAGGGCACATATCTAGGTTGCAGGTTCGATCCCGGTTGTGGCAAGTACAAGAGACAACCAGTCAATGTCTCTTTTTCTCATACTCTCTTTCTCTCTGTCTCTCTCTCTCCCCCTTCCACTCTCTAAAAATGTCAATAAATATATACTCAGGTGAGGATTAAAAGAAAGAAAGAAAAATACAGGTGCAGAGGGTGTGTTCCAGAATATCATATGCCTCTAAGAACATGCCAAGAGAAGAAAGCTTACCTAGAAACAATTACAGCATAATTTCTATTATTGTTACTCTAGGACAGTGATTTTCAACCGTTTTCCTCTCATGGCACACATAAACTAATTACTAAAATTCTGCAGGACACCAAAAAAACATAATTTTGCCAATGTGACCAAAAAAAAAAGTATAATTTTTACTGATTTACAAAAAAATATGCTCCAAAGTGACTTTTAAAAAATTCAGGTGCCTATACTTGTATATAGGGATTTCTGGATTTCTTGTATATAGAGATTTCTGAATTAACCAATCAGGGTCCACCTTATTATGCAATGTGACCAGTAAAATGCAACTCTATTATATAACCTATATATTTATGGTTCAAGACAAGCATTCACACTGGATGATAGTTGTTGTGTTGGTTGTTGTTATTTTTTTATTTGACAATCTAAGAAAAAGAGGTCAGTGCCCCTGACTAAATAGTTAGGTATTGCATGTTTTAAAAATTCTTGCAGCACACTTGTTGAAAATCACCGCTGTAAAGTAACAAGATACACCCCATTTTTTAATAATAACTTTTGAATATTTTATAAGGCAATACTAGATATTTTGGCAAAAGAACCCATTAAAATCATAACTCATCTGGTCAAATATTTAAAGAGCAGATGGTGGTGGTGATAACAGTAGTTAGCATTTTGAATGTGACCATCTTTAGAAAAAATATACACATGTAAGTTTTTTCAAGACTCTTTTTGCTTAAATTTGTGGCTTCATTTATTAATGCCACTTGCCTAGCCCTGAGAGGCTTGAGTTTGCCACTCTATATTAGTTTTCTAGAGCTGTCGTAATAAAGAGCCACAAACTGAGTGCCTTAACTAACAAATATCTATTGCCCCAAAGTTCTGGAGGCTAGAAGTCTGTGATCTAGGTGTCAGCAGGCCATGCTTTCTCTGAAGGCACCCGGGATCAGTTCCAGGCCTCTGTCCTAGCTCCCTTTGCTCATGACAGCACAACCCCAGTCCTCACATGGTGTTCCCCCGTATGAGTACCTCTGTGTCCATATTTCCTCTATAAGGACACCAGTCTTTTCAGATTAGAGTCCCATTCTACTACCTCAGTATGGCCTCATTTTGACTAATTACATTGACAATGACTTAATTTATAAATAAGGTCACATTCCGAGATACTGGGGGTAAGGACTTCAACATATGAACTTTTGGAGGACATATTTCAATGTATAACAACACTGAGTAGACACTGGACTGAAAAGAAGTTACTTCTGCCACTTTTCCTTTTTTTCCTTAAGCATATTTTCAGTTATATGTTCTTAATATACCCACCTGTCACATTTAAGCATCCCATTGTGCCTGAACTGTCCCCTGAGCCACTGTTCTGCATGCTGAACCAGAAAGAGTAAGGGCATGGAAGTCAATCCAGGGAAGGGAATCCTCTGGGATGAGCGAGGAGAGGCCTCCACCAAGGAAGACAGTGTCGCTGAGAGACCTTGGGGATGGTGGGTCTGGGAAGGGACTCAATACTCAGAAGCCACAGGAACGGTGAAAAAGGATTAGTGTGCCTGGCTGGTGTGGCTCGGTGATTGACCGTCAACCCATGAGCCAGGAGATTGGGATGCAATTCCTGGTCAGGGCACATGCCCGGGTTTCGAGCTTGATCCCCAGTAGGGGATGCGCAGGACGCAGCTGATCAATGACTCTCATCATTGATGTTTCATCTCTCTCTTCCTCTCCCTTCCTCTCTCTGAAATCAATAAAGACATATTTTAAAAAAGGATTAGTATAACTTACCATCCAAATAAAATAATATTAACAGTGAACAAGGAGTCCTGATAATAATTCTGTTCTGATTTAGGGGTAACTCTGTCTATCTCTGGCAGGGACAAGAATCCCCCTATAGGGTGGCATTGTAGCCACCACTTTCAATCATCTCTGCTAATAATAGCAGGTATTAGAAGATGTTAATTTCCATTCACCAGAAAGTCAAATGGCTTATTTTGTTCTTTAAAAGCAGCTTTCTTAGCAAAGCCTATATAGTACAATTACCTTGAGCCTGGAGGGCACTTGAAGGATCTTTTATTTGATAAATCCCTTGGACATCCTTAAGGGGGAAAAAAATTGCCAGAGGTGTATTTTGGAAAGGGGATTGAATTACTGTAAGTAACTCCTCAAAAAGAGACCTAAGGGTGGGCTTTCCTGAATGCAAAGGTAGACTTTTTCAAATGATAATTCCTGTGCTGACTATCATCTGTAAAACCTAATTTCATGGGGAAAATAGTGAAGGAAAGGCAAGCACCATTTGCCAAAGATGTGGGCAAGATAATGCTGCTGTTACGATGAAAGTTATGTGTTATCTACACGATGTAAAATTATTTCCGATTACCATATAATGAAAGGGAAGGAAAACAATGGTGAGCTTCACCTCAATGCTTGTCCATCTTCTCCATGCTGTGTCAGGATGAATATGGGGCCTGGCAGGCCTTTGCAGGCCTTGGAGAACATTAACTATAGGCACCAATGGAACGACATTGAGAAGCAATTTCTCTCCGGGAAGCCCCAAAGCCTTTTAAGTAGTTCAGGCTTCACTGTTCACATCCAGTTGCCAAAAAGCAAATGAATTGCCTGTTTTGAAAGACATTTGTTTCCCTGGTTTTTGTTTTTGGGGTTTTTTCTTTTGGCAGTTAGGATGAGCCCTTGTTTTTCCCATAATCAGGCCCTGCAGAACTACATGCCTGTGCACTAACAATGTGAAAAACACACAAGGTGTGGCTTTCAGGTAATGGTTCACCTCAATCTGCTTGCAGACTGTCCCAAGGGGACCTACGGAGCTGGCTGCTCTTCAGAATGCCAGTGTGTGGAGGAGAACACCCTGGAATGCAGCGCCAAAAATGGCAGCTGCACCTGCAAATCCGGTTACCAAGGCAACCGATGCCAGCAAGGTACAGTCTGATGATAAATTTTCTTTCTTCTTTAATAACAATGCTCAGCCTTTGTTCAGCACCATATGATCATTAATTATTTATTCTGCCACTGTTCTCAGGAGAGGAGTAAGCTTTATTAATCCCCTGTTTGCAGGTGAGGAAACTGAGACACAGGGCAATAAAGTTATTTAACCTTGTCATCTCAGCCTCTGCTGTTAGCTGTCCCCTTACTAGCTTGAGCAAGGAAGGGAAGAAAGATCACATTGCAGAGAACCTTATTCTAAGAAGGTTAATGCTGGCCGATCGCCTCTCTGAGGTGAATGAATCAACCAAGGGCACTGCTAGCTTTCAGAGTTAAAAAATAATTTTCTTTACATCTAGAGATAGATCATTCAAACATACAGTTGAAAGACTCTGACCACAGAAAAATTTTGGAAAATTTAAATACAGTTATCAGTGTGTTCCTTTCTCAAATTTCAAAGTATACATAATTAATTTTGTATAAATCTATAAATATAAAAGTTGATGTACATCCTAATTCCAATTATAAGTAGCATATATAGATAGAAGTATGTAGGTGCATAGAAAATGTGGACAAAGGTATTCCAAGGTTTAGTAATGCTCTCTCTGCTTGTGGACTCATGGAAATCTCCCCAAGTGCCTGCACAGCTCTTCCATTTTTTCACCAAGTCTTATGCCATCTTTTCACTGAACCTTATCAGTACCGCCCTCCTTAAAACTGCAACTTGCATGTCTTTTTGAACTTTTGCTATTTTTCCAAAGTTCTTATCATCTTTAAACATATCCTATAATTATTATTATGTCTAATACTTATTACCTGTCCTTCCTGCAAGAAGCTGAGCCCCGCAGGAGAAGGACATCTGTTCCTTTTGTTCACCAAAGTGTCCCCCAAATCCTAAAACAACCCTGACATACAGGACTTGCTCCATAAGTGTGTTCTTAAGTGAATACATAAGTGTGAATCTTTAATTTTACTCTTTATAGATTTTTCTCATGTTATTTTGAATTAAGCACTTGTTACTATTTTACTCAGGGGAAATTATCACAGCATTTAAAAATTTTAATATATAGCAAGACTGAACATATAACAAATAAAATGATCATAACTAACAGCAAGTGAACTTTTTGCCTTTGATGGGATCCAAAGGGCAATCTTGTTTAAAATCAGGAGATTTGAAGGGTTTGAAAGAAAGCCTTCATACTGTTGGGTCCACTTACATAGACGGGCTCTGGGTCTGGAGTTGTCTTTAGCCCTGAGTGTTACACGTGCTCCTTGCATGATCATCTTCTGAGAGTCGCAGGGCCTGTGAGAGGTGACTAAAAGGGAGGAAGAGTATTCTAGGTCTGCCAGGTCATCCTGAGGCTGTGGAACGGGAGTGTGTAAGCAGCAGTGTCCATCTAGATTTTGTGGAGCAAGGGCTATTTCGGGAGCAGGACTGTGACTTTCTAAGCAATGGGGAAAAGAACTTGGGGAGACAGAAGCCTGACATTACACAAATGTATTTTCTATGGTATAAGAGAGGATCCCATGCCAATCTCTAAACCTCTTCCTGCTTTCACTGATTTTTAAGGCTAGGGTCAGCCCCTTAGTTGTTTCTCCACTAGAGAAGTCATGCCCTGGAAGGCAATGCGTGAGATGACAATACCACATACACACACCTGGGTAAATTTAATTTATTCTGATAACATTCCCTTAAAGCAGCCACTGAATATATTGGGAAATGCTTCTGAGATTCCCACTGTGAAGGAAAATGAGTTGAAAGTATATGTAAATCAGCAAAAATAGAGAGGTCACCATAATCTCAGGAAAACATATTATTTTTCAATCAGATAACTTTGTCCAATTCTAATAATTTTGTCTAGCCACAGAATGAAATTATGAATCAGACCAGGGTGGGTGAATGGAATCACCGTGATTGGCAGCTGAAATCAAGGCAAAAGGAGCTCTCCCAGACATGTGCACAATGAAAATCAGGCCTGTTTTTCTTTCTCCTTTTCAAGAGTGAAGTGGCCCAAGTGCTCCTAGCACCAGACATATCTTCAAGAATCATGACTCCATCCCTGTGTCTAGATTGCAGATGAATAGTTAATTAAAGACGGCAAATTGTTTCAATGGCACTAATGAACGGTGCTCTCCACAATCAGCACCAGGACTCATTTAGCCCATCAGCAATGACTTTTAAGAGCAGAAAATCTGTGGAAGAGCAGAAAGGAGAGAGGGGGGAAAAAAAATCCAGCCAGTGTTTTTGTTTTGATTAGTTTGTAGCCTGGGGCATTTTTGGACCCCAGCTGCAGGCAGACCTCTGAATGTGGAGGGCTCTGGCCCAGCTGCCCCTTGAGTCCCTCTAAGGAGGTTCATTCAACCCGTATGTCATTATAATAAGGTAATAAGGACAGATTTCTGTTACAATAGGTCCACACTGAATGAACTTCAAATCTGAACTGTGGTGTGTCTCCTGGTTAACTGACTTGACAGGTGCTGAGTAGTTGGTATTGCAGCATAAGTTTGGTGTAGTGCCCGAGAGCACCAGTTGCAGGAGCCAGGAGATCTGGGGTCAGTTCTGACTTTGCTCATTCTGAGCTACATGACCCAGAGTAAATCTCTTAACCTCTCCAAGCCCCACTTTCTTATTTAAAATGAAGCTAAAGTTGTGCTTGTGTCACATAGTAATTTTTATGCAAATGTGAGCTAATGTATGTAAAGTGCATGGCACAGAGTAAGTGATCAACAGTTAATAGCCAGAAAAGGTATAAACATCCCAGAAAATTGAATAATTCTGCTATTCATTGAAACTCTGCCCATGAAAGAAGATACTTTTAGGCCAACTTGGACTAATGTCTCTTCCCACAATTGTGAGATGTTTAGAAAAGTTTCACTGTTGTTCCTGGGTTAAAAGAATGCTTTCTGCCAGGTTTCTAATTCCAGTGGTTTTGATGGTAGGACATATGCTGAAGCCTCTAACTAAGCCCCGAGTGGTCCCTGCAGCATCAGCCGTCTTTTCTGTTCAAAGGGCATTCAACAAAGCAGCACTTTCTCCTCTTTATACAATGTATGCTCTTATAAAATACACAAATTACAAACCTCTGAGGTGGCTATTCCGGCTTACAATAGACGCAGAGACTAGGAGAACAGGATTCAGGTAACCATTTGGGGACAGCTTCCCCAGCACCGCACCTCCTATGCTACCTTTACAAATTACATCTCATTTTCTGGTTTTGTTCTGTGCAACTGCCTCCAAAGACATATATCAAAATTGCTCCCATTGTTACTGTCTGAAAAACCACATTTTTAGCAAAAAGCCAACCTCTATATCTGTGTTCCAAAGTGACAAGATACAGCATCATGTTGATTTCTTCAGGGAATATTTTTGGAAGTGCTATAAATCCTTGGAGGCTGCTCACATGTTTCTTTGTTGCAGCCCAGTGGCACACACCTGCACTCACACACATACACACCCACACGCACTTGCACACACACACACACACACACGCGCAACACTTTTCCAACTCACTTAGGCAACAGCAAAAATCTGGGACCATCTTGATTTGTTACAAGCCTTAGCTCCTTTCTTTCTCTCTTTTTATTTCACAAGCCTGCCCTGATGGCCTCTGGGGACCAGAGTGCCAGTTCTCCTGTGGACCCTGTGAGAATGGAGGTCAGTGCCACAAAAACACTGGAAACTGTGACTGCCCTCCTGGTTACACAGGAAAAGCCTGCACCATACGTAAGTCATTAACCTAGAGAAGGTAACCGACGAGTCAATAAAGTTGTTAGCTTTATAAATGCTTTTTTTCCCTAACTGCTCTATGAGATATTTTGTTAGGGCCCATCTTTCAGTTATCTATTGTTGTATAACAAACCATTCCAATACTTGGCTTAAAACAATGATTTATTATTTCTTTTGATCCTGTGGGTTGATGAGATGGTTCTCCTGCTGGTCTTAGCTGGAGCCACTGGCGGCTGCTCTGGCCGGTAGATGGTCTGGGAAGTGGGCCTGAGTGGCCTTCCCAGCCAGGGGACCCAGTCTTTCCTGCACGTAGCATTTCCACAGGTTAGCTGGGGTTCCTCATCGCGTGGGAGTCTCAAGACAACAGTCCAAGAAGGAGTGTCCCAAAAGTGTGAAGGTGAAAGCCATAAAGTATCAGAAGCTTAGCTTCAGAAGCCACACATCTGCCACATTCTACTGGGTAAAACAAACCACAAGGCCAGCCAGATTCAAGGCGAGGAGAGAGAGATTCTACCTCCTGATGAGAGGAAGAGCAAAATCTCATTGCAAGGACCTGCAAGCTGGGAGATGGGGCTGCAGCCACCTTTGCAACAGATCTACTAGAGTCTTTAAAGTTATAAAGTGGTACTCTAAAGAATCAGACTATGTTTTTAATTCTTATCAAAGTGGAAGCAGATTATAGACTGATAAAAAGTCATTAATTAAAATGAATGTTTCAAAGAGCCAGTAGAAATAATACCCCGCTAGCTCCTTCCCCCTTGCGATTCTTACATTACCTCTGTTAACCTGCCTGTACACCCTTCTCTACGAGAACTCCCGGGGAGCTGTGGGCTGGATGGGTGTGATTTTTCAGTTACAGTTGACATACAATATTGCATTAGTTTCAGGTGTACAATATATTGAATAGGTGTGTATATAACTTACAAAGTGATCACCCTGATAAGTGTAGTACCCATATGACACCATCCAGTTATTACAATATTATTTTTACATTACTATTTTAAATATGTCTAATAAAGGTTAGCATGAGTATTGTTTGTGATGACTTATGATTTTATGAGGGGTAAATAGTGATTTGAATTAGCTTTCAGTGCGTACAACTTTCTATAAACCAGCAAGCGAATAAAACCAGAAGCCTAGCTGTACATATAAAATGTAATGCCAGGATGGTATTTAGCACTTAGCTAATCATCTGGCCATTTGGAGAATGCATTGCTGCCCCTCGGGATAGCCCTCAAGCCCGAGCAATAGGACAGGGTCCTTGCCCAATGATTTCTCTGGATATCACTAAGTAGTTTTTCCTTTAGGACTGTCATTCTGGCTCTGTTGACAAGCACTTCAAACAGTATAAAAGTGTGCTGCTGTAGCAGTTGGCTATCCCTAACCTACTTGTTTGCTTTAAAAAAAAAAAAAAAAAGCTTAAAGGTAAGAATTTACATATTCAAAAGGTAGTTACTCACTGTTTCCACAGTGAAGTGACATTTTCTTACTCAACTTTAATGGAATAATTATTAAGCAGATACTGATAAAGTTTATACTGTTCCAATTGTCAACGTGATATAGACTATTTAAAAACTGGTGAAGAGAAAGATAAACTGTTCATTCTTTAAAATACTAATGTAATAATTATGTTACAACTCTCTTCCATTCTAGGTTTTAAAAACCTCAGGAGAAAATACCATGATAGTCTTGAGAGATTTTTGATGACAAGTAATAGTGTCTTAATTTTGTTGGCAGCCTGATATATGAGCTAATGTATTGAATTGAATAAGCAAAAATATTCCCCAACTCCTAGTCCATCCAGTTCAATTTTTGTGTTATGTGCTATTATCTAATTTTACACACATAGGCACAAAGCACAAATTATATAATCATGATAATAATATATTTCATAAAATGAATGGAACCAAAGGATAGGACTTACTAAAAATGCTTCATGCATACTCCTCAAAGAATGTATGGCATTTGAAAGGGGTTTATGTTTCAAGAAAAGCATACATTTCTCTAAATATCCTGTTATGATGCTTACAGAATTTTAAAACCTAGTCATTCTGCATAATGAACTGTAAAAATGTGTATAAGTTGTACAAGGTAGTATGTTTCAGAGGCAGGAGGGATCAAATAGCAATTTCTAAAGATAGCTTTATGTAAATTCTAATTTTTAAAAGTTATAAATACAATTACTTGGGGAAAATAATTCTTTTTTAAAACAGGGTTTTATTTCACTTTGTTAGAAGACTCTCTGTTTTATGATAGATTGTATTTTTTTTCCCACTCCCTAACCAGCGTTGAGGGTGGTGATGGCTGAGGCTTCATAGACACTCTCACACCCTGAATAAGAAAGTGCCATCTCGGAAGAGGGCAGTTTCACCCTATAGATCAGGAGTTTTACCAGATAATTTGAAGAATGGTCTCAGCTTTTTCTTTATCTCACCATTATTTATAATAATAAAATACAAAATAATAACAACCTAAATATCCATCAGAAGGAGAATAATTTAACAAATTCTATATCACATTAGTAGACTATTCAGAGGCCATCTAGATTCATGTGTAATGTCAGGAGAATTGACATTAAATTGGCATTAAGTGGTCTATATAAAGAATGCTCCAAGTTTGTTAGAACATGCACCTGTGTGTGTCTGTGGAAGACTGATCAGAAAGGACAGCAGTTGGGAACAGTGCCATCTCTAGATGGTTGGACTGGGGCTGAGTAGTTTTCTCCTTTGTACATTTTTGTCTTTCCCATATTTACAACTTTACATTTTCCCCCTTAACAATCCAAAGGAGAAAATTAATCATCTTCAGACCAATCACTGATTAAATATCCAAGTAAAATAATTGTCTATCCTTAAAATACTGTCTGGTGGGCTTACCTGTTCCCAAGTAGGGAAGAGATTTCCTTCAGTCTAATTGAACTTGGTGCTCTTTATTGTTACAGTTATTTTCANATTTCCTTCAGTCTAATTGAACTTGTTGCTCTTTATTATTACAGTTATTTTCATCTGTTTCACATGATATGAATATTAAACATTGCTTGGCAGCACCAAAAACCTTAAAAAACACACGTAAAAGAACATAGTACTGGTATACCTTGGAGATGTTGCAGGTTCAGTTCCAGACACCACAATAAAGCAAATTTCTTAATAAAGCAAGACATGATTTTTTTAGTTTCCCAGTGCATATAAAAGTTATGTTTATACTATACTAGTCTGTTAAGCGTGCAATAGCATTATGTCTAAAAAATGTTCATACTTTATTGCTAAAAAATGCTAAGCACTAGTAGAGCCTGTTGGAAAATAGTGTCCATTGACTTGCTTAATGCAGGGTTGCCACAGACCTTCAGTTTGTAAAATAAGGCATTATCTGCAAAGCACAGTAAAGCGAAGAGCAATAAAACAAGGTGTGCCTGCAATGCTCTCTGTGAACACTTCATTTCCCTCTCATCAGAAGTTCCGTTTTCTATCCCTCAGTCATTTTGTTATTACTTCTCTGAATTCTGCCATATTTTTATGAGCATTTACAAAATAGGCCCCTCCACTACTGAAGGAAAGGAAATAAGAGAGAAGGAGGGAGAAAACACTAGAAGGGAGAAACTAATTACAAATACAGCTTATGCTTTAAACATCATATGATCAAATATCATGAAATGATGAATCATAATGAAATAAGGATGGTGAACCATCACTAAATATCATAAAACCATACTGAACACAGGTGGAAACCTTCTGTAGAGGTAAGCTGGTAAATGTTAAGCAACTGGGTCTCTGAAATATAAAAACCTGCATTTGTAGCATTTGCCAATTTCCACAGTGCAATATTCCCACCTTGATGACTTCAGGTAACCAATGTGATGTCAACTGATTCACAAAAGTCCCTGAAAATTTAACAATTGGTTTTCCTGAGCTGTTACTAACTCTTCCAGTCTAGCACTGGCTGGTATCATATTGTATGCTGAACACACAGAATGATTTCTTAATTTCACTTTCTTTTTTCGTACTCTCTAGGTGTCTCTTTTACTTAGCTGTTTCTAAACAGATAATGAGTTGAATTAAATTAACCAAGAAATAAATGGTTCCAACCAACAAAAAGTTCACTATTTATTTAGTCTATTTCATTTTTAAAACAATCAATTGTTTAGCTCAGCTGCTTCAAGATTCAAAAAATATACAACAAGTGTTGGAGGCTTTATTGTAGACAGGCTCCTCTCTTTCTCTGTAATTCATATGGTTGGAGCACTGACTCAAACCTGGGGGAACCACTTGCTCCCTTAAATGACCTGTAAACGGTATTCCAACTACCTGTAACACACCTACTATAAACCAGGGCTGGCATTTTCTTTATGACACACTGTTGTAAAAAAGAAGCCAGTTATCTAAGGCAGAAAAAAATGAGTACATGTGAAACAAAACAAAACAAACAGAAGACTACTAGAAGAATATTTAAAAGTTTTAAACATCACCAAACGCAAAGAGGTGAGATGCAGTAGTAGCTTCGAACCTCTCTGAAGCAACCCTAGATTAGATTTTTAAAGTTGCTGGAAGATAAATTGTATTTAAATAATACATCTCCCATCCTTTCCAGCAGTGAGATGCATGTCCCTCACCAATCTGGTTCTCAGCAGGCAGTCCAGCCTGATGAAGTGTCAGCAAAATGTCAGCTCCCACAGAGAAGTGCCTTGGAGAGGCGACACTGAAGTAGTGACAGGCCTTTCAAAAAGCCATTGTGCAAATTCTGTTCTTAAATAGGGATCTGTTTGAGGACTGATGGGTATGTCATTGCCAATGAGCTCATCTCCCCATCGTGTGTGGGAACGGAAGGGAGTCGTGCAGCAGTGATGGAGAGGCATTTAGTTGAGGAGTTGTGTGGACCTGGTCTTCAGGATAGTTGTCTTCTGTTTTCAAACAGCTAATATTCAAATTAGCTGTCTTTTTTTGGCACATAGCCATTGAAAGGGGGCCCAAGAGCTGCTCTTTCCAGAATTCTTATTACCTATA